ATACATCTTCTTCTTCTTCTTTTGCAGTTCTTTGTCTGAYAGAAGAGATATGACTTTACCAAGAGTGTGAAGAGACTTGTTGATACTTCCACCTTCCTACAAAATAAACACAAGGCATTGCATTCTGGTTAGCACATGACGTCATGGCGGCCATATTGGCTTACGCCAAAGAAAAGATTTCTCATTAGCTTCTGTTGTAAGCTATGTACATGTACACCCAACATGGTTGCCGTATCTTTTGTTCTATATTTCCCACAGAATTCTTATGAATTTCTCGTCAGAATTCATGTGACCGTAAATCAAGAATAATAACTAATTCTACGGATGTCCAAAACGAAAAACCTTGTACAATTTGTTTTTTTTTTACCACATTTCAATCTAAAAATTAGCGAAAATTATTCTTTTCTTTCAAATGAGTGCGCGCGTGAGCCATGATGGTCAGCACAGTGCGCATGTCCTCTTATTGACACACAGCCAATCAGCGCGCGAGAATTTACACAAGTGTGGTAAAAAAAACACTTTGAGAAAGTCTAGCATACCCATTGACCATATGAAAAACGAGCAGAAGACTGGGAATGAGCACCTTTAACGGTCCATGTGTTTGAAACTCTGTTTTTACGATAAGAAAGGATATATTTAAACTAGTGCATTGACATATTTATAGTTCAAGTGGTAAAATATCGGCAGAGCTACGAGGACTAAAACGTACCAAAAACGTGAAAACGAGGCTGGTAAGGCCTCAATTCTGATTTTCACTCAAACCTTTGCAATTCCAAACACCTGTAATTTCTGGTCCTTAAATGTAAAAGCATTGAAACTTTCAGATCTCACCCATTATAACATGTTCTTTCAATGGGTAGTAATGATATATTATACAACTTATAAACTCAGACATTACGATAGCCACGCCCTTTTTCATATGGTCTATGAGGGATGATCTTGTTTTCAGCACCCTAAACTTACACGAGCAGAAAGTGTTTGATGTCAGAATTGACACAAAAAGAAAATATAGAAACGAAACACCAACCTTGTGATAATGATGACAACCGCCATCGCTATATATAGGCAAAACATTTTTAAAGGCACTGAGTTGATATGGCTTATCAAACTGATTGCAATTTATGGGTGAAACTTCATTACTGCCATATAGCATCGACACACGAATGGGAGTCTTTTTCAAGTGGGGTTCCTATGTGATGACCATCCCTGTCATTATCATAAAGGAGTTTCCCCAGGAATTGATTAATACTTTACCTTGAGTCTAAGGTTCGCTGTTTCTGTGGAGCYKATAACTTGGTCATTTAGTACGTGACTGGCGCGTTCACTTCCAGCCAAGTCTATGAGGTTTATTTTACTTATTTTGGTAAGTTGGGTCTCCGATTCTTCAAAGATCTCAGTCTAAACGAAGGAAGATTATAGTRACATGTAAAATAATGACCAGACAAAGGAAAAGAAATGAAGGAAGCGTGAATGTAAGAGAATAATGTGAGGTGCGAAGAGGACTGGAAGAAAGGGACAGAGGAAGAAAAGAAAGGATGAGAATTAAAGAAAGTAAAGGAGAATTGATAGAGGGAAGCTAGGAATAAAAGAAACCAGGATGGAAGAAGTAAGAGAAGGAGGGAGGAGTAAACATAGAAAGGTAGGAATAAAAGAAAACTGGATGAAAGGAAGAAAAAAAACTGTGATATAAAAGGAAAGAAGAAAACTGGGATGAAAGAAAGTATAAAGGAAGTAGCAAGGAATAAATGAGGGAAGGAAGTAGAAAGAGAGGAAGGGAGGAGGGAACATAGAAAGGGAGGAAGAATGGAAGGGAGGGAGGAAGGAAGGAAGGAAGGAAGGAAGGAAAGAAACCAGTATGAAACAAAAGGAAAGAGGTTCTAGAAAGAACTCGGAAAAGATTGGAAAGCATGAGAGTTAAAGGAAGTAAAGGAAAATTGTAGGAATAAAAGGAAGGAAGGAAAACTCAGAAAAGGTCTGACAGTAAAAGAAAACAAATGAATATCAGCAACAAGAAGGAGAGAGAGAGAGAGAGAGCAAGAGAGTAATATTATACCTTTGTCTGAGTCATCACTATGGTAAAGACAGAATGAGATCTGCTACTCTTATCATTCATTCCGGTTGCTGCTGTAGCTCTGTTGGTATTGCCCAGCGCTAACCATGACTATCAAGAACAAATATGAAAACATCTAAGACTGTTATCCAAATAAGCCTCCGTAGCAGACGTTCTTAGCGGTTCGATTCTCTCCCGCAGAAACTGTTTCTTAGCGGTTCGATTCTCTCCCGCAGAAACTGTTTCTGCGGGAGAGAATCGAACCGCTAAGAACGTCTGCTACGGAGGCTATATCCAAATAAGGAGGTTAATTCATAAGAAATGTTCTTCTTACCTCAATGTCAGAATATGAACTGACAACATACCTGGGAATAAAGTCATACAATGAACATATAATTATTAATGGAAGGTAAAATATCATTAAAAAAGACAATGACATTTCTAGCTATAGTGCTTTAGAGGCCACAATGCATCAAATAAGAAAATTTGCCACCTTAGATTYGAACCAGTCAGAAAGCAAATTTCAACAACAGATCATTTGCAAATACAAAAGAAATGATTGCAAAAGGTTCTTGGATACATGTGGGCCTTTAAAATATAAAAGACACTGACAATAAATAATAAATGTTTTTAAAACATTTCGTGCAAGGTGAGTACTACAACAGTACATATAGCAGCTGGTCTTACCGTATTTGCTTGATTAAACGGCGGAAATTTAATTTTTCCAGTCTGAGACAAGGAGCTTATTTAGGGGAGGCGTTTTTTTCGAGTGAGGTGCTTTATATTCAAAATCACTAAATATGCAGAAAATGGTTTMAGTATGCCGATCTTTTAATAACAATTTTTACTACACCGCTATTGGTACATCATTTTTAAATTGTTTCAGAAAAATTTACAGCATTAACAAAAGAACCAAGAATTCCTAAGATGCTATTGAGGGAACTTAATGGTCGAGAGGTAAAATATAATCCCACTGTTTTCTTAGTTGCATTTATCCAAAACCTTGAATAAGCGCCTATGGTAGGAGGCGCTTATTCAGGGGARGCGCATAATCRAGGGAAGCCCTTATTCAAGCAAATACAGTATGCCTRCATTCTATGGAGAGATGCTTACGTAGATAGGTCTTGTACAAAGGGTCCCATGACAGGGTGCTCACGGACTCTCAGCTGTAAATGCAAACAGATTTATTTATTTAGTTTTTGTCCAAGAAACAGAGGTTTATGGCCACACAGCAGGAGACTTCAAGCCAGGCTTCTCTCAGTTAGTCAGGTATGTTAGTAATAGA